TTCTGCGTGATGACCTCTTCTATCACTGTCCTGAGGTTCAACTGACATTAACAGTGGTAATGGTGGGTCCTCTGTCTTCACAAAGATAGGGTTTCTTCATGTGAAATGATGTAGAAAACAATACAAAAACGAATCACAACCTTAATGCAACTTGTACATTTCATATAGTTTATATATATATATAAACCTTTTTTAAAGAGTCTGATGTATTTTATTGTTGCAGAAAACTAGGGAAGGAAAAAAGACCAAAGACTATAAGTCAGTGTCAAGGTCAAATTAAATCATTCGAGTTCCATGACTGATGATTGATGGACTATATTGATGCACAAAGGTGGATCAATAATCTCAAAAAACCTTTTGTAGCAAATTGGTGTATTTAAAGCAGCGGTAAAAGGACAAAAATCAAAGTTTTAAATCGATCAGGTCATAAATGTGACCTCTGCCTGGTTAGTCTATAGTCAATAATAGACGACCTGTGACCAGGAAGCCTGACTGGTGTCCAGTAGGGGGCTCCGGGGGAGAACATCCCAGCAGCAGTAGCTAACAGCCTAATTCCTTGGTGTACATGGGGCTGTAGTTCAACGATAACTGCTGGATGTCAAATATCATCTTACAGCAGCAGAAAACATCTCCAGTCTCCAGTTTGGCAAGGCAGTTGTTTCCAAAACCAGTAAAACACTCCGGGTAATTTTCCAGGCCTTAACATTGCAACTGAAACTGAGATGGCTCTCTCTAGTTCTTACACTAAGGCTTTGGCTTCTAGAACCATTAGCTCCCAGCAGCAGCATGTCAAACGGGCGCCACCCTCAAGTGTCCTATCATTCAGTTTTACTATCACAGTGCGGAGAGAACAAGAGTGCTCTCACTGTGTCTGAAGACATTCTCGTGCCCATCTGGTGGCACCATAACTGTGTGACAGCAGATATTAAATATTTTAATTTGCCCGGGTCCCAGAGAAACGCTGAGTTTATCAAGCAGCAGTTCCTCAGAGTGACTTAATCATCAGCTCATTTGGGGCTCAGTCTGAAAAGAGCTCTGCGGTACTTACTTTAAAGCTTCATTTTTTCCAAAGACTATTAGAGAATTCCATTTGAAGGCAAGTTACTGCTGAGAGCGGCAAAAACAAGATGCTTTGTGGTTCAATGCAAGTCTCCGATCTCTAATTGGAGGCAATGACGTTTTGGCAACAAGATTAGCAGCTTCTCCAGCCAAAGAAGAATTTACTAAGGAGGTGATCATTTCTACGGCGTGGAGCTTCAGCAACAACTCATTTCTGTTTAATGTACATACGTATATGGGCAAAAGTGAAGCGCTACAATTGTGAAATGCCTTCCACGTGAAAAATAGATTTCTAAATTATACAAAAGGATGTAGCTTTATTCAGGTAGATATTTGAAAAATATTTTAACCCCTTAAGATCTGAGGGATTTACTGAGCAATGGCTTGTACAAAGTCACATTATTTAAAATTATTCAAATAACAATCTGGACAAACATGATGCATCCTAGAAGCAGTTAATCCGTTAGCACAAACTTCCTAACCTTGCCTATAGATGTTGCAAAAGATCCGTGGAGAGAGACAAACCTACACCCAAAGAACACCTCCCCCACAAGTAAGAGCTACTTTAAAACTGTTGAAAAACGTACCGCTATCTATCTCCTATACTTGCTACTTTAAAACTGTTGAAAAACGTACTGCTATCTATCTCCTATATTATATAGAATAGTATGTCTAGAATTCCAAAAGAAAATCTGTGAAGTAAACTTAAGACTAAGGTTGACACCAAAAAATCAACTACTGGAGAATAAATTAAAAAACCATCTATTTTTTTAGACATTTAACTCTTCTTCTGAAGATTCTGATCATCTCTGCATAAAAAGTTGATGTGAAGTATGGGATAGCACATGTTCACACACACACACACTCTCTCTCTCACACACACACACACACTGTGCAAGCCTGTAGTCCAACTGCAACACAATGCTAAGACTATTAGCAGAGCCCCTCACTGCTCCACTCCACATCTCTGAGTTAATTGGGTGCCATGACCCTCTCTGCTGTTTTAGTATTGGTCGCCTCATTGTTCCAGCTCAATCACCAGTTACTGGAGCGTCACAGGGATAGAATAGGCCTTTCACAATATGACCCACTGGCCCCTGTAAAGACGCTTCGCTGTGGGCACCTACGGACAGTTTCAATCTGTGAAATAGTCTTTCATTTCATTTCATGCAAAAGTACATTTCTATTGTTCATCTAAAGCCTTTACGTAGAGTAGAGGAGCACCTTACTGTAGGGTTGTACAAATTTGGAAAACAATAAATTAGCTTAACTAAGGAAAACAACAGCCATTTCCAGATAAATTCCTTCAAATGGAGTCAAGTCATCTATGACACCTAAAGCATTTTCTGAAGAAAATGAAAAAAATTAAAGGGTGCTTGATGACTGACAGCTTAGTCCTATTCTGTGTGGTATTTGAAATGAATACCTTCAAGACGTGCAAGTCATGGGTCACATGACACATTTGACTATTTTGGAAACTAAGGTTACTAACTGTTGCAGGTTTTCTATTGCTCTACAAAAGAGTGTTTTTACTTTCATAACCGTCTGTAGCATTCAAGTGTGGACAGGAATGTTTATCCCAAACTATCTATGATGTAATCCAATCCTTTCCTGGTTACATAAAATGGGTTACTTTAATAGTCAGGCTTCTCCTTCATTTCGATACAATATGATGATGGATAAGTAGAAGTGGATCCATGAGTCATGTGATCCTGATTGTTTTTTTACTGTACTTTCAGGTAACGACAGAGACGATGAAACAAATAAACAAATAAGAAAACGATTACATGTCAGATGTGAGATAAATGCGTTAAAACTCACTGTTTTAGCCCATGTCTGCTCGTGCATCAGACGTGTAGCTAAGCCCGAAGCTGTAACAAACAAAAGTTGCTCTGCTCGTGGTCTTTAAACCAAAGAGATGTCTCGTAGCTAAAGAGAGAAAAGTTCAAATTAACAATGACACCGTGGCTCCCTGGAGGGTTAAAATACACCCACAAGTCTGTCTACACTTGGCCTACATACTGCATGTTACAGTCTGAGCAACAGCAGGCTTTTCTCTCAAACGGATGCTGCAGGATCTTACTATCAGCTCCTCCTGGGGATCCTGAAACAGTGCCGCAGCAGTGCAGCAGCCATGTGACAACAGGCACTTCTGTCTACGAGGGCTGCCGCCCGTATACGTTTGAGCCAAAGGTGCTGTAGAGATATAATGAAACCTGTCCATCATTGTGCTGCACACACACACACACACACTTCACTCATTGGCTTTTAGTAGAAGGTCAGCGCTAAAGAAGTGAAGCATGAAAACACACAAGAGCATATGATTAGACGCACGCAGCTCCCTGTAGGTCTGACAGTAGGAAGGTCTCCTCCAAGTAGAGGGTTAATGACAAGTGATTGCAGGCTACATGACAGGGGGAGCAGAATTAGAAAGGAGGGTCACGGGCGGATTCCAGGACATACAGAACAAAGTGCCCTTGCATTAAAGATACAACAGAGAGGGTGGAATTTAGAAAAGTAGGAGGAGAGCAAATGAAAAGTTCGTCCTTACTGGGAAAGCTGCTTCAAATGATGCCTTCATGCACAACAGTGAATGCAAACATGCAGTGTTACAATAGCATATTTACATATAATACACCATAGACGCATCCAACACTGAATTACCAGTGAAACAAAACATAAAAAACAAATAATTCATTTTTGTTTTTTCCAGAAGTACTACATTGGAAGTTAAAGACAGCTCCAGTAGCATGAGTACTTTTTAACCCAGAGTATAGTAGAGCCAGTAAGTTGCAGTAATGCCACTCAAAGCTCGATGGACGGGTGTTAGCAGGATTATCCTCGTCAGGCCAAGCCTTGGAAGGAAGTGATTTTGAAAGTGATAAACTCTCTAAATAAATACTTTATCTAAAGGATTTTCTGTTTCAGTCAACCAAATCAAACACTCAGTAAAACTGTAGCCCATACATTACATTTGAAATGAGCTTTTTTGTTTTCATTTGTCACCTTACATTGCAGAGGGTGTACTGAGCTACAGCACGGGCTCAGAGTGACCATCAGCCAAATATTATGTGGTCATTAGTCCTTAATGGACATATTTTAATAAATTACAGAATTTTACTTACGTAAAACAATATTATTGTACCCCAAAACTTAACTCCTGGACCTGTCCCTTGAAACTATGATATCTAAGGATGTGTGGATCTAAAAGCAGCCCACAAGGAGACAGCTTGAGTTCTTTCAGTTGCTAAGTGGAAAAAATAAAATAAAAAATCAGGACATCAAAACAGAAACAGACCTCAGGAACAAAGACAATGTATAAACACATTTTCATGGCAGATTATTTTCCAAAATAATGGATCTCGGAAGATCATATGACCATCTAAGTCATGCAGGCAAAACCACCGACTGTTAATAAAAAATGGACAGAGCTGTGTACATTGCAAGTTTTAGTTGCAGAGTGAAACAAAGGAGAAAAAGACATATTGTCAATTGTCAATTATCTCAGTCTTTTATAACTGGACTAATTTTAAATGATATCAGTTATGGCACATTTCCCTTTTGATCCTGTGGCTCCATTCCCAGTGCCATCAGTTCACCCAGGTCATCATGAGAACCAGAATGTTGGGGAACAATCGTCTTTACACTGATGCAACCTAGATACACTATATGAAAAAGGCATTTAACTATCATCCAAGACCCGGACATTGTTAACCTATCTATGAAACCATGTGAGAAGTAGCACCATTTTCAGTAGACTTCAAAGTGTGCTACTTACGAAACCAGCAGAGCACTTTTTGGGGGGGACCTCAACAAGGACTAGTCATGGTTTTGTTCAGTTGTTATTTCCACTGCATTAGTGTGACAGCTGAAAACACCATACACCACTAGGACTTCCCCACAGCAGGTTACACAACGGTGTTTGAATGAAAGAGCCTCACCTTTGAGCAGGGGCAGTGGTGTAAGCTCCACCTGGGAGCTCTGGTACCGGAACTGGGACGAGCTGTGGGACCTCCTCTGCCGGGCCCTGCGCATGGACCTCCGAGGAAAGCCATCCACCTTCTCCGCAGACGGCACCGAGAAGCTGGTGGTGGGTGAAGACGGACTGGACGGAGGCAGCTTGGTCGTCTCCATGATGGCTGTGTACACGGCGTCCGTGCGTGCTTGTGCGTAAGAGGGCCTTGCGCGTGTAAGTGCGTTAAGAGGCGTTAAGGAGGGTGAAGAGAGGGTAAGGAAGGATGGAGGAGTGGGTAGCTCTCCGGATCACTAGCAATGGTGAGGAGGATCGGTTAGGGAAGGGGGGGAGGCGAGAGATGATGGGGGAAAAGGAGGTGCGAAGGAGAGGTGAGGGGAGAGATTTTTTTGCTGTCCAGTGCCGTGCTCCGCTCCGCGCCTTGGTCTCTCTATCAGAGGCGGACAGGAAATGGCAGCAGCAGCGTCAGCATCATGTCTGATTCTTCTCTTGGTTCACCTGCGGATGTGGAACAATCGCGCGTGTATCATCCCCGTGGAGGAAGAAGGCTGTGAGGAAACCAGATGATGCTCAGACATGCAGGCGCGTCTCCATACACATGCGCGCTTCTGTGCTGCTGCTGCTGCTCTGCTCTGCTGGCGTCACACACACTCACAACATCGGCCTAAATCTGAATATGTGATGGTGTGTGTGGAATTAAAATCAATGTTGTCAAAACACAGATTCACCTCCTGCTCCTCACACACATCGGTAAATAGCCAAACCACGAACAGATTCCAGGTCAGTGTGCAGTTTGTCTTCTCCTCGCCGATGATGCTCCAGGTCTGTGATGGATGCTGGAATCATAAAATCATCAGTCTGGGCCTCCTCCTCCTCCACCTCTCCTGCTGCATCACCCTTGTCCTTCCCTTCCTCTGAAATGGATTCCACTAAATCAGCCGCACCTTCATACCACCTATTACTGTTGTATGTGAATGAATTATTCTAGCTTGGATTTCCAGGTGCTGGTCTCCACACTCCTTCTGTCCGTCCCCCAGCCGTCTCACAGCGGTGAAAAACACACAGTTACTACATGTGCAGGTTCCTCCGCCAGCGGCCGATGCGAGCTCCGCTCCGCTCCGTCAGTACCTCCACTCCCGGTGGGAGCTCCAAACAAGAACAATGAGGAGAACAGCAGCAGCCGCTCCTCCACCTGCTCCTCCTCCTTCTTCTCCTCCTCTTCTATTTCCTCCTCGCTGCAGTTGCAGCCTCGACTGATAACAAAAAAAGCAAAGGCCCGCGTTACACAATAGCAGCTCGTCTGAGTCTGTCAGACGTTCGACTCCGGTCCCTCTGCCTTCCTCTGGTTATCCCGTCGACCAACGGCGCGGCGGTACGCTGCGTCAAGATGCATGCAGTACTTCGGAGGCAAACCGGAAATCGGGTTTCCTGGGCTATAAAAATTTTAAAAAATGGTGGCGACAAAAAAAAAAAAAAAAGTTCGAAGAAGTATCCGTTATTCAACGTGTGTTTTCCCTCAAGTGTACGCTTCAGTAATTCCCTAAAATAATTTCTAATAATCCCACCTGAAACAGCTAGCATGAGTAGACCACAGCAGGACGACAACGTTCCAGACTAAATGTCACACCTGTAAGTAATCGTCTAATTGGTCTAATCCTCCACCTGCGTTGGAAAGAAAACCCAGGGAAAAGTGACTGAGTCACAGGGAGAACCTGTGAACTTCATCACGCTGCTCCCACATTTGGTCGTGTGAAGTGATGTGCTGTGTCACAACGACAAATAAATAATAATAACTTTCACTTCACTTGAAAGGCCTTTTGGCTGTACGGCAAGAACAGCAACAACCATATCTTCTTGTGGTATCTCACATTAATTAATACATTTTTACATTTTTTTTAATTAAAAAAATAACACAAGTAATTACCACATTAAGCAAAAATATAATTTTTCAGCAGCAGAAGTAAAAAAATATTACAGGCATAAACATTTGAGGCCTGGCAATAAATAAATCTAAAAATATCAACAGATAAAATTTTAAAAAATGATGAAGCAGAAATGCATCTATAGAGAGAACGCTCAAACACAATAACCTCAAACCAATACTGCACTCAGGAGTGTTCTACCAGACTACTCTTACGCTTTAGGACTTAGTACTAATATGGAGAAGAATATTTCTTTTTCTGGTGTAAATTATGTTTTAACATTTTCCAATTTGGAGTGGCTAAATTAATATGAGGCAGAACATGTTGCATGGATGTTTTGCTGAGGTTGGGAGTGTAGAGCTCCACAGATTTAAGTATTCCGTTTTCTTAATATTCTGTCAGAAGTAGTTTTTTGTTTGTTTGTTTGTTTGTTTGACTGATTCTGTTCATTTGTTGTTGTTTTATTTTGAAGGGATGCGACCGGAATAGCTGTTCTTTTCTCTGTCTCTAACTTGCACCATTTCAGTCTGAGGTGGCGCAAGGAGAGAGAGAGAGAGAGAGAGAGAGAGAGAGAGGAGAAGAAGAAGAATGAGACTTCTCACTGCGGATGACGCTATAGGATGTTTTATTTATTTATTTATTTAGTGGCTCTTATTTATGTGTCCAGTTTCTATAATTGGCGTTCATTTAACACATCGACGTGTCTTTATCGTGAGTGTGCCTGTGTGTGTGTCATCACCTCGACTGTTGAACATGTGGATGCTATTTTATCAGGAAACATCAGCTGCAGCTGCAGCGGTGTTTGTGTTCCTGTTGCCCCACATTTTCCTCCTTTGCGCAAGCGTCGGTGATGTAGGTGTTTTTGGAAACCAGCTTCCATCCATTGTTCCCCTAACCCTTGTAGGAAACTCACTTC